GAAAGCCTTAATTGGACATGTCGGAGAAAATATAATACCTTTCACCCTAATGTCTCTACTGGATAAGGGAGCTCCCTTGATCATCTGACGAGTTTCTTATTTTAACCTAATGCATAGTTATTAGGATGAATTCACACATGTGAGAGATATGAAAGCTCCAGGCAGACTTAACTCCCATACTTAACATGATTTTGGATGGACTCATGTGAGCCTTCTTGCATGGACCTTTCTTCTTCTCTTAACTAGGATGGTCTAGCCGAATAAACTTGTAATTGCTCATTCAATAAAGCTTCTCCATGAATATGCAGCAATGGTTTCGCAAAGTCGATCCTGAGGGTAAGCTTTCAAGCCGCATCCATTTAAAGGAGACGAGACACTGACTTATAATTGTTAAAAAAAAAAAATAGAAGATTTGGCTCTATCCTGCGAGCTTCTCTTTTCTAAGGGCTTTATGTCTGTTAATGGAAGTCAAGCATGCCTAGCTTTTGAATATGATTGACTGACTCACTCATTCGGAATGGCTTAGAATAGTTTGGAGAGGTGGCTACCCTATTTTTTTCCAAGCTAAATTTATAGGACGTCAAGAGATATAAGAAATGTCTATCTCGATCGATCTCTATCGATATTGACTCATCCCTATCTTTAAGAAAGAGATCGACGATCCCAATCTCTCAACCCCGCGAGTGTTGTACTAACATGGTTTAAATTAGGACTCAAAAACCAGGATACATTATGATAAATGAATTAATAGGATAGTCTAGTATAATCACATGATAAGGAACAAGTAGAATGAATGAATAGAATAGTCTGACAGAACAGTATGGTAAGGAACCAACATGCCTCATATTTTCAAGGATGAAGGAACATCTTTTGTCCCCATAGAATCATACAGACAGTATAGTGATTGCCTACTGGATCAGGAGAAAAATGTTCTTCATCAGCTGGAGAAATGATCTCTTATAGAGGAAAGTGTGATAAAGCAAAAGTCAAGAGCAAAGTGAATTAAACTTGGGGATTCCAATACCAAGTAAGTTTCTGATATCTTAAAGGAAAGGAATCAGAGGAAACAGTTTAAAGAACTCACATCATTAGATGGACATAATTTGAATGATGCTGAAATAATCAAGTATGGAATCATGGAGTTCTATAAATCACTGATGGAATCTGCTGCCCAAAATTTACCTGCCATCAACAAGGAGATCATGAAGCAAGGGCCTACACTATCTCAACAACAAAGAATGCAGCTATGTGCAGAAATCACTAAACAAGAGATATTTGAAGGATTGCAGAGTATTGGGAATGACAAGTCACCGGGGGTAGATGGTTTCAATGCATATTTTTTCAAGAAAGCATGGCAAATTATCAAGGAGGAGGTCTGTGCAGCTGTTAAGGAATTCTTCACCGCTGGTAGACTGTATAAGGCAATAGACTGTACTACCCTTACACTAATACCAAAAGTTGACAAACCAGTCAACGTAAAGGATTTCTGGCCTATTGCTTGCTGTACCTTACTCTATAAGATCATCTCCAGTGTATTAGCATCAAGACTACAGAAGGTTATCGCATTCATCATTAGTGAAAATCAGGCAGGATTTATCCCTGGGAGAAGAATTACATATAACATCATAATAGCCCATGAATTGGTTAAATCTTACACAATGAAGCACATCTCTAATAGATGTATGATTACGATTGACCTACAAAAGGCCTATAACTCAGTGGAATGGATCTTTTTGGAACATGTACTAAATAATCTGAGATTCCCTACACAATTTATTGGCTGGATTATGTAGTGTATCAAAACAATCAACTACACCATCTTGATCAATGGAGAGACCACTGCCCCTTTTGATGCAAAGAAAAGACTTAGACAAGGGGATCCTATATCTCCCTTTCTATTTGCTATTGTAATGGAATATCCAAAATGTGCAAGGCTGGTATAACACACTTAAGCTTTGCTGATGATCTATTGTTATTTGCAAGAGGTGATCTAGCATCAGTGACTGCCATGCATAGATGCTTTAATCAGTTTGCTCAAGCATCAAGGTTACAAGCCAATATGGAAAAGAGTTCAGTGTTTGGAGGGGTATCAAGTGTTGAAGGGAACAAAATATTGCACCATCTGGAATATGGACAAGAGGAGATGCCTTTCAAATACTTAGGCATACCACTATCAACAAAAAAGATATCAACGATTCAGTGGCAACCACTTATACAAAAGATAGTGGCAAGGATATCTTCATGGACATCTAAGAAACTATCCTATGCAGGAAGAATACAGTTAGTGCAAAGTGTAATATTTGGAATCCGAGCATGCTGGGCCCAGCTATTACCATTACTTGTCAAGGTGTTGAAGACTATTGATGCATATTGTCGGAGCTATATATGGTTTGCCACCAATACAATCACTAAGAAGGCACTGATATCCTGGGAAAAGATGTGCTCTCCTAAGTCTTGTGAAGGACTATTTGGTAAACATTCATTTATGGAATAGAGTTGCTATAATTAAAGTGTGCCGGGATGTGGAAGCAAAGCAGGATAGGTTGTGGATCAAGTGGATTCACTCCTATTATATGAGAGGACAACAATTCTTGCAAATGCCAGCTCCTAAACAAGCATGTTGGATGATCAGACAAATTTTCAATGCTAGAACATATTGGAATCTGGTACAGAGGAACAAGCAGGGTTCTAGTATGACTAGACATATCTATCTACAATTACAGGGACAAAGGCCTCGAGTGTCATGGAAATGCTTAATGTTTCAGAACTCTGCGAGACCTAAAGCGCAGCTTACCATGTGAATGTTACTACATAGAAGACTTCCCACCACAGATAAATTGACAAAATGGGGAATGACAATGGATACTCAATGCACTTTATGCACAACCATGAGGAAAATAGGGATCATCTCTTTGTCATTTGTGAGTATACCAAGAACTTGTGGATGAAGATTATGCAATGGATGCAACATGATTATAAAAGTACACAGAACTGAGAGCATCATCTTGAATGAAGTTTGCGGCATGCTAAAGGCAAGACGAAAAAAAGCAAAGATATTTTGATTGGTATATGCAGAAATATCACATACAATTTGGATTGAGAGAAATCTGAGGATATTTTAAAAGAGCACGAGACTGGATTACTATTGCTCGTGAGGTAGCATATATATGCAACATTAGAGCTACTGCTAGCATTTAGAGTTTAGTACATAGTTATATTTTTGTTTGAATGTATAGATGATCATATGACATAGATGATAGAGTTGTAATGAGATGGCTAGCTGTGTAAGTGATGCTATAGTTTTGTACAGTTTTATCGGTAATTAATATAAAAGTGATTAATTACCCAAAAAAATAAAATCATACAGATCCAATTTCCCTGGCTACTTCCTCACCAGGAAGGGAACTACTGTTGGTATTAGAAACATCCCTAATTCCATGCATTGAACACTTTATTTAACTTTCTAGTTTTATAATTTTAATGTATTTTCTATATTATTTTTAATTTTTTATACCAATTTTTTAAATATATAAAGGACAAAAAATTAACGATTCGTGGACCTTATGCCCACTCTTCACAGGTAAAGAGCCCAGGCTCACGCTCCCATTTTTCAAAAAACACTAATTGCTATTTTTCACTGTAAAGTAAACCAAGACAACTACGTAAACTAAAATAGGTAATTCCGCTATAGAGCCAAATGAAATTAATAAAAAGGTCAATTATAAGAGTTGATCTACGATAAATCCACCTTCTATATAATCAGGTCATTTTTAGCTTAATATAGTAAGGCAAAATTTCACTTATTAGATTAAACAATTTAAAAAACCTACGTATTTATTAATTAATCCAAATTTTGACCGCCTAAAGTTTAATCATCTATCTATATTATTATAAAAGCACAAATGTTCCACTCTAAATGTTGAACGGCAAAAATATCCTTCAAATATTAATCGACTTTTATGCACTTAAATATTTAATTATTTATTCAAATAATAATTCTACATTGGATAAAATTATAATATCTAATAGTGGAATTTGAAATTAACTAAACTTATGGAAAACTACTTATAACAGGATTCGTGCTTGAAGATAGGGTCTCTGACTTATCGTATTTACGAGTCCTTCTAGAACTAAGCTGATTAAAGACTCCGAGTTACAATCTCGGATATAAACTAAAAGTTACAATTCTTTTACTGAAATTTTATTAAATATTATGGTTCATCAATTTTCTTTTTGGTACTCATGTTGAAATCGGTTACGTAATGTCTAGAACATTTTTAAATTTATATTGAACTTTATTTAAGAAACCAAATACAGAGAATATTGAAATATCTAAATATCATACGGCACTGATCAATAAAAACTCTACCTATAAGCCTAAATATGGATAGGTGATATCAAGGTAAACTAAAATAATGATAACTTCTTTCGTGGATATAAAATTATGAGATATACATGTAATACACATATAATTTCGAATGGCAACACGTCCAGATAAATTAAACTGCAAGGCCAATAATCATTGACATATTCGAACACCAAAAGTTTCTCCTTCTTTGTATAATAAAAAGATATAACAGAAAGCAAGTTTTTATGGTTCAATATGCTCAATTTTTTCAAATAACTTATGTTAAATATTAGACGAGCCTAAAGTTATACGTGCGAGACACGTACATAGAGACTAGTGCTCTTAAAATTTTCGACGTTAAAATCACATTTCGTTTTCATACTCCAAAATACAATTTTCCGTAACCCCGCCAAAAGTACAATGTCTATCTCAGCCAAAAAGCACAATCCGCATCAACACACAAAAAAGCACTCCTCGCCGTTGATCTCTATCCAATCAACGATTCACATTATGTTTCATCCTTTCACTCGGATCGATAATCTTGACCGTCGATTTTCTTTTCAAAGCCCCAAAAAACTAACGGTCACGATTTCAGCTTTTCCACAACTTCAAACAGCCGATCCACAGAACCAGCAGCTATAAATAACAACAAACTCGGCCATCTCATCTCATCGAAACAATTCAAAGCTCATTTCTCTCTTTTAAATTTAAAACCCTAGAAATTCAATTTCTATTTTCTCTATCTCAAACTTTTGAAAAATGTCTGGACGTGGCAAGGGAGGCAAGGGATTGGGCAAAGGAGGAGCAAAGAGGCACAGGAAAGTTCTTAGGGATAACATCCAGGGGATTACAAAGCCAGCAATTAGGCGTTTGGCTCGTAGAGGAGGAGTGAAGCGTATCAGCGGGCTCATCTATGAGGAGACACGTGGAGTTCTTAAGATCTTTTTGGAGAATGTGATTCGTGATGCTGTGACCTACACTGAGCACGCAAGGAGAAAGACTGTTACTGCTATGGATGTTGTGTACGCTCTCAAGAGGCAGGGAAGGACCTTGTACGGATTTGGAGGTTAAATATTGGGTGTTAGGGTTTATAATATTTTGTTGTTAGTGATTGTAGATTTCATGTTTGTGCTTTCTGTTTGTGTTAGTGGTCAGTTTAAGCTAGGGTACTTTAATTTCTGCTGTTAAGGTCTGGATATTGTAATTCCTCGTTATACAATCAAGTATAACAGACCATTTCCTAATTTGTTTTGCACTTGCTCTATTGATTCTTGTTTATATTTCAGTTCCTTTTTGTTTATTGGTATTTATTGGGTGTCCTCATTTTGAAAAGAAGGTATTTTAAGAGTAATTTGCGATGACAATAGCAGAAGTATGCTTTGATTGTTAATAAGCATATGGAATCTGTTGATAATGTAATAATAAATGCTGTCAATGACTGTTCTACAAGTGTGTAATTTCTCTTCAAAGCAAAATAAACCCTGTTGGCAATTGTAGTAACAATTCTTGCTTGTATCATCTTTTTCAGTTTCTAGTATTTGATATGACTGTTTTTACAGTTCAACCAGGAATTAAGCTGCTTCTATTCTTTGCAGCCCGAGCTATTCCTATTGAGAATGATTATTGTTCAGTTACTTGATGCTCTGTTTTGTTGTTCTTGGTGGGTTTTATCTTTTTTATCACTAAAGGATGTTGAGGTAGCTGTGCAAGTTTCTCATTCTCGTTTAATTTTATATGATTAAGTTCAATCTGATCATGTTTGTTCAGCTTGCCTTCTTCAGTATTATTACGATGGTGTTGAAATAATGTTCTTTTAAATCTGGAGGTTCAGTTAAACTCCTGCAGTGAAGGTTGGTTGGATACATATGCTGCATGTAAGGTGATTATTTATCCGACTCTTATCCTATGTTTGTTTAAAACAGTTGTTTATCTCATATCCACATATTTTGTTCTCGTGGAATGCTCTGCATTGTTTTGCTGCCAATATCTATAGCGTTGTTCAAATCAGCTTGGATTTGGAAATCCCATAACCCTAACCTTTATTTGACTTGTTGTTCTAGTTTTTCTCGTAAGTTATTCATTTGACGGATTGTTTGTTTTTCAAGCTCACAAGTTTTCCTTGTGTGTAGCCTTCATGTTAGGGGTGTGCATTCAATTTAGACCCTTATCGATAATTACTTATCGATTATTGATTTGTACATATGCTTATCGTTATCGTTTCAATAAGGTTTCGATTTTTTTCGATTTCGATTTCAATAACAAATAATCGATTCGATTTATCGATAAACCGATTCGAATGCACACCCCTACTTCATGTTATGATGCTCTTATTGGATTTTGATCAGGTAAGGTAAAAGGGTGTTCTTATTGGGATATTAGACACTAGTGCAACTTGCTGGATCTCCTAAGGATATAGAGCATTTTTGTAAACAACTAATTTTTTTTTTTGAAATTATGCAATGCATTTTAATTTTTAATATACCATGCAAAACAATGAATAAAAAATAGGGGAAAAACACCGTATACCCACCTGAAGAATCTCTTTTCTCCATATGCCTAAGTTTGGAAATTACATAGGAAATCCTTAATTAATTACTTCGTATATCTCATTTACTGATTTACATAATACCAATATTTTAAGTGATAATATCCCTTAAATGTAGCCATGACTATTAAATATGTAGAGAATATTAAGATTCACCTCTTTCCTAATCAAAATTCAAAACCTATTCCGCTTCATTCACAAATGTAGTACTCTTTTTTTTTTTTTTTTTTTTACCTTTTTTCTTTTGGTGCAAATTTTCTGTTGGATGTTTATTCCATGTTCAATGTGAATATTTGTCAATATATATGATATGAATATTATTGTGTTTTGTTTGATTATTGCTAGACGTTAGATACTACTAAGTCATTAAATAATATTAATGTTGAATATATAATTTTAATACAAATGGAATATTGTTGGTTTAGACATGAATAGTGCTCTACATTTTGTATTATATATTATGAATACGCCCATATACAACGGAATATTGCTAGTTATGAATACATCCAAATCATAAAGTGAATATTATGAATGTAATAAAAGAATAGTATTCGTTACTTGTTGAATATTATAACATACAGAGTGAATACAATTGTAGTTTATATCACTGAGTTATTTTTTTTGCATCTTCTAAGTGGTATACCACACCATATGTACAGAATACATATGGATTTGCCTTGTAGGGTGTTTTATACTTATGGAATACCCGGATTATTATGTTGAAATTAGGTTTAATGCTGTATTGTGGGCCGGTCTGGGCCCGTGACCGGCCCAAGACCGTAGTCCTAACGGGCCGATTCTAGTGGGCCTGGTCTTAAGTGGTGCAAAAGACCGTCGTGGGCCGTTTTCAACCAAAAAAGACCGTGAGACCGGGACCGGCAGGCGGGCCTGGGCCGGTTCAACCGGGCCCAACGGGCTCCAACGACTATTTTTTTAACTTTTTTTTATTTAAAAAATGGCCAACGGTCAGATTTTAAAATCTAGCCGTTGGCCTTCAAAATTGATCCGTTGGCAAGTTTAAAAAATAGCCATTTGGCCCCCAAACTTTTTATAATTACACTTTTTTCCAATTCTCAACTATAAATACCCCTCCCTCCCTCCCCCCCCCTACCCCCCCCTATTTTTTCATTTTTACTCACAAATTCATCAATCTCTCTCTAATTTTCTTCTATATTTGCTTACTTTATTATTGCAATTTCGTGAAATATTTTGAAGTTGGTGAATTGAAGTATTCAAGTCTTCAACGATATTCAATTTTCAAGAAGTTGTTCGTCAATTCGGTAAACTCGTTCCAACTCTTAAGTTTTAATATTATAGTTTTGTTAGTATTTTTTAGTATAATTATAATTAATATGGTATTTTCTTTGAAATTTTTTTTTTGGTGGTAAGGGTAGGGGAAAATCTAAAATTGGTGAATCTAGTAGCCAAGCTACTCCTCCTCCCCCGGATCCCCGACCCAGACCTGTTACCTGTCCTCCTCCACCTATTATTCTTGATAGTGATAACCCTTGTTTTTAATTTTCCGATAGTCAATTTTGCCATGATGTTGCACAAGGTCAACAATTAAATGAAGAAGTTATGAATGCTCTTTATCCTAATGAAACTATATTTGAAAATGATGAGGAAAATGATGATTTAGATGAAACGCAACCGGATTTAGATGATACACCTACTAGTCCTGTTAATAACCCAAATGATGCCCCGTCTGACCCTCCTGTAGTACCCCTTACTTTTAGTAGACAACCTGCTAAGCGTCCCGAAACATCTATTGTTTGGCACTTTTTTACTCAACTAAGAGAACAAAATAAGGCTAAGTGTAAAACTTATGGGTCTTGCTTGGTTCATAAATTTACTGGAAACCGTAGCGATACGGGTAGTTTGACTAGACACATAAAGACACACCCTAGAGATAAAGCTAAATTTTTGCAAATGAAAGCTGTGCAAGAGGGGACTAGTTTAAATACTACGGTTAACCCTAGTACAGGTTCAAATCTAGTTCAACCGGGAATTAACACTGTTACCGGTGGCATTTTATATTATGATCCAATTAAAGATCGTGAAGAATTTGCAAAAATGGTTACTGTTATGTGCTTACCCTATAGTTTCCCTTCTAACCCTCATTTTGTGCATTATATTAGAAGAATTTTTAATCCTACTTATAAAGGATGGCCTCGTGCAACTGTAAAGAGCGATATTTATAAATATAAACATGAATATGAACAATATTTGCGCTATTTATTTACTCATATAGATTGTCGCTTTGCTATTATTACTGATATTGGTAGAAGTGGTAATGATTGTGATTATCTAACCGTTACAAGTCATTGGATAGATGAGGAGTGGATAATGCAAAAGCGCATTATTGCTTATAGAATAATTAATTCACGCCATACAGGTAAATTTATTGCTAGCACAGTTGCTGATATTTGTAGATATTTTTGCATTAGAGATAAAATTATGTCGGTTTCAATGGATAATGCTTCTAGTAGCACTAACGCTATAGGTTTGCTTACAACTACACTATTAATTGGCTTTTTTTATTCAAACCGTAGAAGTAGACTTAGAGACTATTTTAAAAAATGTGATGAATTTGGCCTTAAAGAAAGGAAGGTTCCTAAGGCTTGTCCTACTAGATGGAATTACATGTATGAAAGCTTAGTTATTGCATATGAATAGAGGAATCCAATTACCTCAATTTATAATGCTCGTGTAGGTGAGGGTGTTGATGATGATGATGAGCACCTTACAAATCAAGATTGGACTAATGTCAAAATGCTTGTAGACTTTTTAGAACAATTTCATGTTGCTACAAATGAATTATCTGGGCAATATTATCCTACTATTTCTAACTGTTTAGTTTATATTGCAACACTTGCAGATTTATTTTCTCAATTTTCAGAGGGTGGGGTAATTTATGAAGAAGCTATTACTTCTATGAAAGCTAAGTTTAAAAAATATTTTTTCCCTATCCCCCCTATTTTTGGTGTTGCTGCATTGTTAAATCCTACAATGAAATTAGGAGGTCCTCACTTTTGGTATACAAAAGTTTATAGAGGTTTATCACTTTCAGCTGAGGAATTTGCTACACTTGGAGATGCAAAAGACTCAATTAAAATAAGTGCTCAAACAATTTATAATGCTTATCAACTTGCCTTAGATCATGCTAGACCAAATGTTCCAACTCCTACTTCGCCTAGTTCGCAAGCATCTAAAAGAACTGCGGGCCTAAAAGCCCTTAGTTCTTGGACGGAGTTCAGGGGTACTCAAGGTGATAATTTTGGTGATAGTTCACAACTAAATGAGCTTCAAGTTTATTTGTCGCAGGGACTTGAATCAGAGAATCCCAATGGCTCCTTCGATGCTTTGGAATGGTGGAAGGACAAACAAAAACACTATCCGGTTCTTTCAAGGATGGCTCGAGATATTTTAAGCGTTCAAGCTTCAACAGTGGCATCGGAGAGCGCATTCAGTCAAGCGAGACTTCAAATCGGTGATCATAGAGCGTCTATGAGGGAGAGAAGAAATTTTGGACTTGCAGAATCACAGCCGGAGATAGATGAAGTTTATGAAGAAATGCTAGCGGAACTTGCGCAGGATGCTGCTTCGCCCGGAAGCGGTGATGAACAAGCATCTTTTCCATCACCACCAACGAAAATTCCTCCGGACCTTGAAGGATTTATGAGATATGTTAGAGATAATACATAGACTTACATGTAACTTGAATTTTGGCACATCTTCCTTAGTTTTTTTTCCTTTTAAT